TTGGTAATTATTGAAAATAGCATGTATTGCTATTACTGATTTAATCTGTAAATTTCCCTATTCTACAGGATTGTTAAGTCTTTTTGTGTAACTTAAGTGTTTCTTGGCACGAGTCGAGATCTCACAGGAAGACTTTCCAATATAGAACGCATCACAATCTGCAAAACCTAATATGTAGACACAATTTCGCGTGGAAGTAAACGGGATCGTATCTTTTATTCTAACTAAAGCGTTTCTTAGAGTGCTAATTGACTTATAGAAAGCTTTAATTTTGTACGTTATCAATATCCGTAGTAATTCTTCTGTCGTAACTTGTACTATTTAAACTTGTTTTAATTTAATTCGGTTATTTATTTACTCTGAAAAAGTGGCTTACATTAAGTCATGAAATGTCAAAAATATAACTTTTCTACTCATTGAGATATAACAAAAAACAATTTTTATAATCAGAGAGGGTTTTTGTGGATATTTTAGTAATTTTATACTTGAATTCATGAGTCGATTGAAACTAGACAACCATGAAAAACCTGAAATCACTGGGCGGCCGATTTGTCCTAGTATGGGACTCCTCAGCAGTGCGCATTAAATATATTTATTATAGAAACTATGTGTTTTTGTGTAACTATATTGAAAATAACAACTTTGTTATATGTATCCCAAAACATGATCTAAAACAGTTACTTTGACTATGCACTCTCAATGTGCTATTCGGATTCAGTAATGATTTCTATAGACGAACTTATGTAGTTGCGATGGGTTCACCACTGGACTCCTTCTTGGCTGATTGTTTCATGGCCAATCTGGAAAATACGTCACTTCGACCAATAATTGAAAGATTTCATTTATACAAGAGACACATGGATGATACTTTCGTTATTTGTGAAGAAGAAATAAACCTCAATGAAATATTGGATCGATTCAATAGTTGTCATCACTCAACTCAATTCACGTTGGACGAAGAGGCAAGCGAGGTGTTTCATTTCCTCGATGTTCAGTTGAAAATAAAGTCAGATGGTTCTTTACAAAGATCTATATATAAAAACCCGGCCTTGAATGGTCAGTATACGAATTTCCATATATGAGTCCTATTGAATGGAAAGAGAAACATAGTTCGTTCTTTATCCCTAAGGACTAGGCAAATATGTTCTAATGACGCAGTAGACGACGAACTACTACAACTTCGACAGATACTCATCAGAAATGGTTATCCGCTTAGATTTGTCGGCAAAATCTTAACACCAAGACAACATTCTGAAAACACACAGACAATTCATAAGAAGACTCTTTTATGAGATACAGCTGCCGAACTCTTGAATGAACAAACTTACGAATCCCTTATTAAAACCTATTCAGCTAGGGTTAATATTGTGTTCTCGGGCCGGTCAATCATACACGGATAAGCTCCCGCTTTGGGCCACATAGATGTGTATTAATTAATTTGTTGCTTCTCTGAATTAGATTACATTAGCCGCACGAAGTAATCACTTCCTAAACGCGTTTCAAAACATTATTGTTACGATTTTTAATCAGGAGAATGCAAAATAGCCATCAGTTCAATACAGTAGCACTTAATAGCCTGTTAACACATCGTTCCAAAAGAGTCTTCCTTCAAAATAATCCACTCAATCGAAGGAGCTGGGTTGAAAGGAGGCCGAATAAAAAAATGTATGCAATACTGAGGCGTTGGTGATCCACAAGCTCCACCCCAACTCTGCGAACAAAAAAGGTACATCCAAACTCTCATTTTTTCACAGATTGAACTCATGAGTCAGTTGAAGCTAGATCACCATTGAAAACCTGGAAGCACTGGACGACCGTTGGATGCCGGCTCAGTGGTCTAATGGTTAAGTGCTCGCGCGCGAAGCCAGTAGGTCCTGGGTTCGAGCCCCGGGTGGCGCGGGGTTGTGGATGCGCACTGCTGAGGAGTCCCATACTAGGACGAAACGGCCGTCCAGTGCTTCCAGGTTTTCAATGGTGATCTAGCTTCAACTGACTCATGAGTTCAATCTGTGAAAATTTCTAAAAATCTCCACAAAACACATTCTCATTTTTTCATTGGAACTAATTGCCTTACGTAGTATGCTTCGGTCTCGTTTCTTTTCATAATTTTGTTTTGTAATTTTAGACTGTAATCAGTTATTATTATCCTTTAACAATTTTTCGTGATTGTTATTCAGTGGACAGTTATCTTCCATAATTCTGACTTGTAATCTATTTTCTTCCCTTTGTTCTTCTCTAACCCACTGACTATTGAGCGACCTCATTTGATATTTGAAATGTTGGGTCACTTTATGATGCAATTTTTTATGTCTTTCTATAGACATATATTTACCATATGACTATAAATACGAATTTACAGTTTAAGTGGACGATTTCGCCGAAACGAAAATTCTCTTCACTGGGTTCGCTTTTTCTCTGTACTCAAATGTAGTTTCAAATCAATATTTGTGTGAGAAACCAAACCAATCAACTGAACTCAATATCTGCTCAAATAGAATTTAGCGTGACATTATGCTTACAAACTATTGGACTAATCAAAAATTAAGAATATTTGAGCGAACAATTGTTTTGATTAACTTCACGATCAGGCTCTACAGTTATATGTCCATAATTATTGTGAGATTTTGCAAGGCCAAAATAAGTCACGCATTAATTAATTTGAGAATGTTATATGCTAAAAATGATGAACGTTTGCATCTGTTACGACATATATACTTCAAAAATTGTGTTATTTACAAATTAGAAAGGTCATTTAGTAGAGGTCAGAATGATTTGTAGTAGTGTCCAGTCCCAATCAGTATAATAGTAATATAGCAAAAATGAGAATTTAATAGTTGAGTTCATGAGTCGACTGAAACCAGACCACCATGGAAAATCTGGAAACACTAGACGGCTGTTTCGCCCTATTATGGGACGCCTCAGCAGCACGCATGCACTATCCTGCTAGCGGGACTCAGGACGGGGACCTTCGGGATGCGCACATCCGAAAAGTTCCATACTAGGATGAAACAGCCATCCAGTGCCTCCAGGTTTTCCATGGTGGACTGGCTTCAACTGACTCATGAACTCAACTATTAAATTACTAAGATCTCCACCAAAACCCCTTCTGATAAAAATGAAAATGCAAAACAATCGCGTGAATAAAATGTATAGTAGGAGGATTTAATCTTGTCAATTGAGATAATAATGATGATAGCAACTATTATTATTATTATTATTATTATTATTATTATTATTATTATTATTATTATTATTATTATTATTATTATTATTATTATTATATTGTTGTGTGAATATAATGTGTGGTAAGAGGGGTGCTATCACGGTAATTACAATATACAAATACGGAATTCATGTGAATTGAGTATGATAGATGCGAGGATTAAGATAGATGTAATCAGAAATAATGGGAAGGGGTTAAGAATTTCGTGCACTGACTTGACACTTTACCACAAATCATTCTGACCTCTACTAAATGACCTTTCTAATTTGTAAATAACACAATTTTTGAAGTATATATGTCGTAACAGATGCAAACGTTCATCATTTTTAACATATAACATTGTCAAATTAATTAATGCGTGACTTGTTTTGGCCTTGCAAAATATCACAATAACTATAGACTTATAACTGTAGAGCCTGATCGTGAAGTTAATCAAAACAATTGTTCGCTCAAATATTCTTAATTTTTTAAACATTCTATGGGGATTTTTAAACTATTGGACTAACGTTCATCTTTGTTTTGGCCAAAATCTAACCGCAATTGGTCCGACTCGGCTGTCACGGAAAAAGATTACTAACTGTTCTTTTTAAAATATAAATCAGTTCCTGTGCCCTTGATACATATAGCTTTAGGAAAGTTTAGAATAATACAGCTACTATGCTTATCAGTCAACCTGAAACATCTAAATTACATTGTTATAACCCTTGATTTCTTTAAAAAGTAGACATTTTGGGACGTAACTAGGAAACTTAATCAAGACATTCTTTTTTGTCTTGAGTATATAATATCTGTTGTAGATATACATCAAGTGAAGTAGATAATTGGGTTTAAACTGTGAAGAGTACGAGTCAACATTTGGCTGAGTATAAGATTTTGAGTTTGTATGCAACGAGCGTTCTGGGTTCCTAATGTTTATTTTCTTGTTTATTGTTCATGAAAATCATAACTCCGGAAGATGAAGGAAATCACGATCGGTTTTCTTCTGACTGTTATATATTAGTTTCTGGTCTGAAGTTTTCCTGTGTTTTTGGAGTATTACAACATAGAGTCATTTTCAAAGTAATGGAAGCTGGGTATATACATAACTATCGACTGAATCATTCCCAATCACCAGTAAGTATTATGCAATATTACGTCAACTTCCAATACAAATAAGATTGTAAGAAGCTGAATAAAATTCACGATATTTATGGTATAGCTATCTTTAGACCATCGATCAAATTGCAATTAAGCAACCAGTCATAGTAACGGGACGTTGAGCTGTACTGTGTTTGATTTCAAATGTTTAAAGATAATCTGAAGTGTTTCCAACCAACAGTTTGATTCTATTGATCTGTGTGTATTTTCTGATGTCGACTTCTAGAATGTGACAGGACAAACCTCTGAGAAAACCAAACGTTTGTAACAGTTGTTTCATCAGAATTAATTTAAGTATTTTAGTAATATCCTTCTAACAATTAATTTAAAATACGGATGTGTCAATACCAACATATAGAAACGAGGAATACTTGGAGGTTTCCCGTCTGCGATTAAACGAAGGAAACGTAATTGAACGTGTTCTAGATTTTATCCATAGTTCGAGAGAAACAGGTTATGAATATCGATAAATTGCTAATAATTAATTGGTCTGTTAAGGCAATATTACTATTGGTTGATAGTTTCTGTTATTATACATATTTTGGTTACTATACTTTAATTTCCTTCCCGTTTAATTATTGATTCGACAGTTGATTGGTCATTTAATTTCAATATATTTATTGGAATGAAGCCACACTTTCATGTCTGACCTTGTATCCTACTTCAGTTTCACGTTGGTGGATCTACCATACTTCAGCAATGAGTCAAACATGTGAATGGAAAAATGAGGTTATAAAGAAGCAGGCCCAAAAAGAACGAGAGAAAGACGTGGAAAAACGATGGGCAGACGTGATGTCTAAGAACGGTGAGGGAGCTCCTGAATGGTTAAAAGAAGCTGCTATGAAGAAAAAGCAGAAACAAAGTTTGAAACAGAAAGATGAGAATTTAGCTCCATGGCTAAAAGAAGTTCAGAAGAAGAATGCCGGCTTAGCAAGAAGGATATCCGATGCCACAAATTGTGAAATTGAAAGTAATCTGGGCTGAAATACGGATTTGGTGCGTTTTTCTCTTTATTACGATAGTTTGATTTGTTTTTGAACGAACGGTAAATTAAATTGTTCAATATCATGTGAATTCCACACAGAGATTAACTATACTACAAACATACATATACGTTTATTATCATGATTCTTTTCCTTGTATATTATTATTTGCGCTTTATTTAATAACCTGATTTGTGGAAATCCAGAATATTTTCCTAACACGTGACTTTCATTTCTTGAGTTTACCATACACTGAACATGTAAGCCCAAATCTTCATAAATATCCAATTGAATTTTTCAGTTCTTACCAATTTATCTTCACAGTTAAAATTACGAGTCAATCTAAGCTAAACCATCATTGGGAATCTAGAAGCACTGGACGACCGTCTCGTCTTATTATGGGACTTGGAACCAGGTCATTCGACCTATCGTGCGGATACTCAAATTCTAGACAACGACTAGCGTCGAACGGCGTTAGTGTCTAACTTCAGTAAATCATAATCTTGCGCAACCCTTCGTCGATTCGCTGTGGTGGTCATGGCTTCTCACCAGAACTCTACGACTTACATCTAGCCGGTTACTAGTAAGGGGGAGATTGTAGTATTTCCACACTTGGATTCCACATGTGAGATTTTGGACACTCACTGTTGAGTTCTTTACTAAGACGAGACGGCCATCCAGTGATTCCAGGTTTTCAATAATGGTCTAGCTTAGATCGACTCGTGATTTCAACTGTTAAATTATTAAAATCTCCACAAACTGCTCATACTGATAACTTACCAATTTATATCTGCATATAAAATAGTATTGACTGAGGTTTCCCCTCGGTCATTGTTTCAACCCTGTCCATACATTTTTTGGTGTCAATAGCATGTATATTTACCTACCTCCGAATATTTAATTGATATCCAGACTAATTCCTGAGCATGATCGTAAAATCTTTTGATGACTAATGCAGGTTTTAAGTGCAGTTTATATATGTCTAAAGACACTTGATATAAGTTAGTGTGATAATTAGAAGTATTTGAATTATAGTACGTACTAGGAATACCTGAAATAACTTAATTTAAATGAAGCGGAACTAGGTGAGCACATACGAACGTATTGTATTTGAAATTCGAAATCAGTCATAAATCAAGTGCAAAGGAATCATTAATTCACACATACATCAGTTATTCTCTGTAGATCATATCAAGAAATATAATCTAGAAACAAAGTCGACGTACAATACATCAGAATATTTCACTTAAGTGACTTTATGGTAATCGTGTTTCCAATGATATATGTATATTGGTATACTTAAGAGGGATAATTTAACAATAAATAGTTTGTTGCACTACCTATGGCGTGAAGTTCCCTAAAGTGTTTTATTGCCAAGTCTTCAGCTCTACATTACTGGCCAATTGGTGTAAGAAGTTCAATAATTTCAAGCTGTTTTACTTATCGTTGAGACACATCATGTAAGGGATGCTACTCGGCTACATAAACAAGTAAAAAAAATTAGTTATAACCATAAACATTAGTCGAAAGTCGTTTGGAGCGAATGGTACTGGGTTCGAGTCCCAGAAAGAACATTAACTCTGAGATGCGGGTACATCCAGCTGACGAGTTCCAAATAGGATTCCACTGCTATCCACTATATATATTTGCTTACAAAGCTTGTGACTTCAAGCAGTATCAAGGCAGTCCGCACAGGATGCACATTTGCTAACAAGAGACTGATCAATTGCAGTCCTAAATAACAATAGGAAGATGCAAGTGAATAGCTCTATACCCAGATTACATATCTTTCGCAAATTTAGCCTTAGAATGTTCTTTTATCTTCGTTCTCATGTTTTTTCATCTTCATTTACTTATGTTGACTGGATAACAAAAGATTCATTTCAGGTGTATTTTCTAGCGTAATCACATTTTTAAATTCAAACCAATTACTTATATTTTAAATATATGTGTTTTTGACTGCACTGTAGGACCACATCTGTTTTATGTAACGCGGATTTTAGGTAACAAACGTAGTAAGGTTTGTCTTACCTTATTCAAGCTATTCCCATAATACTACTGAGCTGTATGGTATAAGACGTTAGTTAAACCAACACAATACAGTTCTTGAGAAGATAGTTTATGTGGATGCTTAATTAGCATTACTTTCACTTAACTACATGGTTAAATCGAGAAACTTAAATTAATGTCCTGACCAGGATCATCAGTGTTTACTTCTTATAGGTGAGCTTTTGGATATTATTCCATAATTGCCTAATTAGCTCTTTCTGACTACTTTTATCGTGATTGGTTGTCTTCCTGGGTTTTATTATATTAATTGATCTTTGTATTCCATCTGACTATTTTGTAAGTGACAATTTTGTCCAGAAAGTTTCATTAAAATTCCTTTTTCTCGCTTGTACATCTGACCATTAAATTGGGAATGTGTTGTACTGCATAAATCTATTAACGCTACTAAACTTGACCCCTACTATTTTGTGTACTGAGAATAATTGGTCCTTGTTTTGCAATTCCAATGCATCTTTGGTAAGATTTGCTCGTATTAAAGTAAACAGGTCCGTGATATCGATTATTCACAAGTTACACTCCATTTTATTATATCTGGGGTTCAAATGTGTAATTGATTCAAACAAACTTCGGGAAAACTGTTGTAATCTATTAATAAATAAAAGGATGGATAGTGGTACCACTCGTCAAAAGTTCCGAACGATAATTGGTTTCATATTTATCTGTTTATAAAATATGCGCAGCGATTTGATATTTAAATTTAATGTCAATAAATATATGTGGCTGTCTTTACTTGTAATAGTAGTTGTTTAATTCGATTTACATCCAAATCACATAGATCGTGTGATAATACACATGACTGTTATTATTAAGGTCACATTCATACATGTTCAGTAGTCAACATATCGATGTATATTAAGTTGATACATTAGAATTTACTAGCATGCATCGAAATGCAAGTCAATTCTGATAAGAATATGGATCTGGTATTTTATGTTATGATTCATTCATGCTGATTAACTGGACAGTTAATAGCTTGATAGTCCTATAATCTGAATTAAGTTTCGACTACATTTATGCTGTCTCAACATACACTTACTGCAATTTCACATAGTTTATATAAGTGTCACTTTTTTAGATACAAAACGATCTCGTTTTCTGGTCAGTTGCTTAGTCTTTTGACATCTGTTCATTGGGTAGCGGTTTGTGTTTGTAATCCAGTTTTTCTGATTAATTGTCACCCGGACACTACTCACGTCAACTCAGGAGACTGATCTTAATCCGGTCCGATGTAACAGTGATATGATCTTATCAGTTCTGTCCTTCCGATTTCCATTCTTAAATAGCCCCAGATGACATTCAAACAATCGCGTATTCTCATACACAACATTTCAGACTACCACTGGCTAATGATTGATGTCGATCTGAAGTCATTTAGTAGGAACTATCGACCTTAAGATCTGATTAACGGTCACTATATCTTAGACTGAATTTTCTGGTTACATCGTGATGCTTATGGTGGAGTGTCGTTCTCTGAACTGGGTAGTTTAATCGAGTAGCTTTCATTGTTGGGAAGAACAGCTAAGCCGTCCAGCCACAAATCTTCACTTTGTAATTAACTGATATTGGTGATTTTCTGATAATACGAATGATTTTTCTATTCTCAATTGTGCCTTTTTTTCTTCCATAACATTTAGTAAACCATCACTTAAATAAGCAATTTTTACCTAACACTTTATAATTTCGATTTGTTATCTTAACGTAATATTTTCATTTTACAGCAGTTAATCATTATTTTTGTTATTTTAATGAGGAAACAGTTGTAATGCAATATGTAACATGGTCCCACATTACAGTCCGAACAATCACACTCGTAATTATCAAACTAATATGTTGATATTTGACAATAATTCAGTATGTCTGTGTTTTGTCTCCCTACGCATTATGGCCTTTATTCTTCTCTAGCTCTACTAAGTACTTTAAAGATTTGTAATCATCTAGTGACCTCTCATAGTTTTGGATCAGACATGATAAAAAGTTTTATCACTAAGGCGGCTATCTAAAACAGATATATGCTGATTACCAGGCGAAAATTCATTTGACCTAAAGATGTTCGGTGTTATTATAACCTACAATTACACAGCACTTTGCTCTCTGTTAAACTCCATCCCAACTAACATAGAAGATGGGGTGGGATGGTACTTGATAGTGAGTAATCAGGTAAAAAAAGATATCATTATTATTGATCACGTTGACGGAAGACTAATGGTGGGTAGAATATATTCAAATAGCAGGTATGAAATATTTAGACATATAATCTATGTTAAAATAGAACAATTCGATAAATATTCATTATATTCCCTTCATTATTAATCCACTTGAGATATGTGGAGTATGTGACGATGATCGAGATCCGTGAAATCCAGTTAGTCTTCGTATTTTAATAAAACATCAGAAATGAATATAACAGAACTGATGTACTTCAAAAGTTACACATAAGGTAACCATCAAACTTGATCACCAATTCTTCGAAGAATAAATATGATTTCCAAGTTAATGCAGTTTTACATAGTAAAAGGAGCAGCAGTAACTGAAATGAACAATGGAAATAACATTTTATTCTTTACTGAACTCGGATTAGAATTCAGAGATTTCAAATTAAAGTGTGTCCTATTTTCTTAACTTGTTATATTCTCAACAAAATACGAATAATAATTCCTTTTCTGAATAAATAGTTTTAAATCCATGTAAATAGTGATTTCAAAGTCACCAAATTTTTTAGCTTGCAAGTACAAACAGTGCGTAAGCACTTAAGCGAGTCGTATTATGTAAATATGAATCCCTAACCTTTTTTCTAGTTATAAACCAAAATATTTAATAACTAGATTAAATTATAGTACATCAATGAACAATAAAGTCAGTTAATATGATGAATGTTTCATCTGCTCACTAGTGATTGTCTTCAAGAGATACTTCTGGAGTTGTAGTGAGAAGTCGTCACCAGTGGAGTTCAATCAGGTCTGTTGTGAGATATCAACTCACTGAAAACAATGGTGTACGGTGGCGCAACTTCGTGGATTGGTTGAAGTTAGACATTAACACAGTTGGATGCCGGCTCAATGGTCTAGTTTGTTAAGCGCCTGGCGCGAGAATGTTCGTAAGTTAGTGGCTTATTACGTAATATAGACATACAAAGACAAACTGCCTAATATGTATCATTAGTCTCTGTGATTTACGCATATACTGCAATAAAATTGATTTAGATAAGAAATATTTCATTAACTAGTCAACTTGTATTGAGACACTACTGTTATAACGGAAAAGTATTGTATGGATTGCTTGGTACGTACGATCGATCGTGTAAATTGGTTATGATGATTGCTCACAAATCCCAATCATTAATATAGTCTCAGTGAACAAAAACAGAAAGCAAACTAGTTTGATCAGCGGAATATGAGTCGTTTGATGTGAAAAAAACATATACAGAATATTTAACTTAAAATAAATATTATTAGAGTTCATGTAAATCATAAATGAATACTGGATCAGAATTTGGTAAATTATTCACGAGCCAACAGATCTGAAGCCCTACAATCAAGCTCACTTATTACTTACTTACTTACGCCTGTTACTCCTCGTGAAGGAGCATAGGCCGCTCACCAGCATTCTCCATCCAACCCTGTCTTGGGCAACCCTTTCTACCTCCGTCCAGTTGTAATTCGTCGTTTTCATATCTGCTTCTATTATCCGACGCAATGTGTTCTTCGTCCTTCCTCTTTTTCGCTTCCCTTCAGGATTCCAAGTTAGGGCTTGCCTCGTGATGCAGTTTGACGATTTGCGTAATGTATGTCCTATCAATTTCCATCGTCTTTTCCTAATTTCTTCTTCAGCTGGAAGTTGGTTTGTTCTCTCCCACAGAAGGCTATTGCTGATGGTATCCGGCCAATGGATGTTGAGTATCTTGCGTAGACAGTTATTTATAAATACTTGTACTTTCTTGATTGTGGTTGTTGTAGTTCTCCAGGTTTCAGCTCCATACAGTAGAACTGCCTTGACGCTCGTATTGAAGATTCTGACTTTGATATTGGTTGAAAGTTGTTTTGAGTTCCATATGTTCTTCAATTGTAGGAATGCGACCTTTGCTTTGCCGATCCTCGCCTTTATGTCTGCATCGGATCCTCCTTGTTCATCGATGATGCTTCCCAGGTATGTGAAGGACTCTAAATCTTCCAGAGTTTCGCCATCAAGTGTGATTGGATTGCTGTTCTCCGCATCTGTTCGTGTGTACGTGATAGGAGGGCCAGGTCATGTGCAAAGTACATATCTTCTAATTGGTTCCGAGATGTCGATCGTATTCCGTGCTCCCACTCAGATGTCGAGGTCTTCATAATCCATTCAACCGTCAGAGGAAAGAGGTTGGGGGGAGTAGACTGCCTTGTCTGACTCTGGCCCTTACTTGAAATGCATCTGTCAGCTGACCCCATGCACAACTTTGCCATGCAGTCCGTCGTATGAGCTCCGGATAATATTGACAATCTTCTCAGGAACTCCGTAGTGTCGAAGAATGTCCTCCTATCTACACTGTCGAATGCCTTTTCATAATCAATGAAGTTGATGTATAGTGATGAGTTCCACTCAACTGATTGTTCGACGATGATCCGTAGTGTTGCAATTTGGTCTGTGCACGACCGATCCTTACGGAATCCAGCTTGTTGATCTCGAAGTTGGGCGTCTACTGCATCCTTCATCCGGTTCAGCAACAATCTGTTGAAGACTTTCCCTGGTATTGACAGTAGTGTTATGCCTCTGTAGTTTTCACATTTGCTCAGATCTCCTTTCTTTGGAATCTTGACGAGGTGTCCTTCTTTCCAGTCCATCGGCACTTGTTCCTCCTCCCAAATCTTTTTGAATAGAAGATAAAGCATGCTTGTGGTTGCTTCGATGTCTGATTTCAGTGCTTCAGCTGGTATGTTGTCGGGTCCCGCTGCTGTCCCGGTTTTGATTTGTCTGACGGCCATTCTAATTTCTTCCGTAGTTGGTGGATTGACATCTATAGGAAGATCTATGTGTGCTGCTTCGATGTCCGGTGGATTCATTGGAGCCGGCCTATTCAGGAGTTCCTCGAAGTATTCTACCCATCTGTTACGCTGTTGTTGAATTTCGGTGATTGGCTTGCCTTCTTTGTCTTTGACCGGCCTCTCTGGTTTACTGTATTTCCCTGATAGTTTCTTCGTTGTATCGTAAAGCTGTTTCATATTTCCTTCTCTAGCAGCTTTTTCTGCCGTCGTTGCTAGTTCTTCCACGTATTTCTTCTTGTCGGCTCTAATGCTCCTCTTCGCTTGTTTGTTTGCTTCTATGTATTCAGCTTGTGCTTGGACTTTCTCTGCTCGTGTTCGGCTGTTGTTTATTGCTGCCTTCTTGTTCTTCCTTTCTTTGATCTTGTCCAGTGTTCCTGTAGAGATCCATTCCTTATGATGGTATTTCTTTAGACCGAGAACCTCTTGACACGTTGAAGTTAATGCTTCCTTGATGGTTTTCCAGTTGTCCTCCATAGTAGTTTCTTCTTCTTTCAGTAGATCTTGTAAGTCTTGGAACCAGTTGTTGAGAGCTATCTTGAATTCATTGAGTTTGACAGTATCTCGAAGGAAGGCTGTATTGAACCTTTGTATTGCTGTTTGTCCACTTGTCCAGTTCTTTTTTAGCTTCAGTTTCAAATTGGCTACAACTAGGTGGTGATCTGAAGCTACGTCAGCACCTCTCCTGGTTCTCACATCTTCCATTGTCCTTCGGAATTTTTTGTTGATGCAAATATGATCTATTTGGTTCTCTGTGGTGTGGTCCGGTGAGATCCATGTAGCCTTGTGTATACGCTTGTGTGGAAATATTGTGCCTCCTATGACCAATTTGTTGAATGCACATAGATTTGCAAATCTTTCTCCATTTTCGTTTCTTTCTCCCAGTCCATGTCGTCCCATAATATCTTCATATCCAGTGTTGTCTATTCCGACTTTGGCATTTAGATCTCCCATCAGAATAGTTAGGTCCTTTCTTGGGCATTTCTCAATGATTGACTGCGGCCGCTCGTAGAACTGATCTTTAATTTCGTCGTTGCTATCATTGGTGGGTGCATAACATTGGATAATATTCATTAAGATCCCCTCCTTCTTAGTTTTCTACGGGATGGGGACGCTAACCCCATGCCCAACCCTCCTCCTTTACCCGGGCTTGGGACCGGCAGCAACCCTATAAGAGCTACAGGCGGAGTTAAGCTCACTTATTAATCATCAAATAATATGTGAAGCTGATATTTATCATAACCAGAATGGTCATTCATATTAAATAATCCAATAGCTCCCCTTAAATAAATGTCAAGTTTATAGATCTGACAATTTCGAACTCAGCACCAATCCAATCACAATTGACGGGGAAGATTTGTTAGATGTAAAAACCTTTACGTATTTGGGCAACATCATTGATGAACAGGGTGGATCTGATGCAGATGTGAAGGCGCGGATCGGCAAAGCAAGAGCAGCATATTTACAACTGAGGAACTTCTGGAACTCAAAACAACTGTCAACCAACACCAAGGTCAGGATTTTTAATACAAATGTCAAGACAGTTCTACTGTATGGGGCAGAAACCTGGAGAACTACGAAAGCCATCATCCAGAAAATACAGGTGTTTATTAACAATTGTCTACGCAAAATACTTCAGATCCATTGGCCGGACACTATTAGCAACAACGTACTGTGGGGGAGAACAAACCAGATCCCAGCGGAGGAAGAAATCAGGAAGAAGCGCTGGAAGTGGATAGGACACACATTGAGGAAAGCACCCAACTGCGTCACAAGACAAGCCCTCACATGGAATCCTCAAGGCTAGTCAGCGGCCTATGCTCCATTGGGAGTAACAGGCGTAAGTAAGTAAGTAAGGCTAAGGTAGTGTATTTACAGTTGCGATGCAGATTCCTATGAATTATAGTTCGATGTCCATATATTGTACTGATGAAGATGAATGGTGAACAATTATATGGTACTGAGTACCATGGTAAACAACCTTATGTAAAAGTCCAAGTTACTTTTTGTGTTGATGAGTTCTGTTTACCACTGCTATAGTCCGGCCACTACTACAACAACAAAAACTTTGTATACCGTCCCAATGAAAGCTCAAGTAGAGAATCATGAAATGACTAAATACCCCTATTTCCAATCCTCTGATTGTGTTCCTTAACGCTTGGAACGAGAGTTTATTTATTTATTTGAACACATAATTATTGGTACAAAGGGGCACCGAATACAAATGCGCCACACAAGTCACTTGGTTTGTGTTGGCTGGGATACTGTCTGAGTGCCCAAACTAAAGCCGGTTGTTTTTTAGGAAGCCACAACCGGATCCGTCAACCTAAAGGTCTGGTCCACAAGGCAGTGGAGCAACGTCAGGAGATGCAGTCCCATACTAGCCGGTGACCAACAATAGGTTCATACACCATTCGTTCCCTCAGGACTCTGAAGCCTGTGGCAAGCCCATTTGGCCACTGTATCATTTGTCTACTCATTGTAACTCAGACACCTAATTCATCATGTTAATTTATGTGTGCATTTCAGACTCTTAATTCACCATGTTAATTTCGGTGTGTATGATCGAATGTATGTCTGTACATTAACCCTTAAGCTATCCTCCTATTGGTTGCTATGTGCAGATAATCGATAATTTATCCACACCCGAT